TGTTCAGCTTGTACACTACGTTAGTTAGGTCTAAACTTGAATATGCGTCCGTAGTCTGGAATTCGATTACGTCAACTGATGCCAACAAGCTGGAACGCATCCAGCAGAGGTTTGCGGCCCTTTGTTTTAAACGTTTCTTTCCTCAAGTTCATTACAATTATTCTCTTGCTCTTGAGGAGTTAAAATTACATACTTTATGTACTANATAATAATAATTATTATTATCCTCTGAAAATCTATACTATTCATTTCTTAATTAAATATATGTTTCATTCCTCAGTTCGTAATAACACTTAATTTAATGATAATGAAATTATTATTACTGTCATAATTATCAGCTATTTGTTTGTTTACTTTTACTTTTACTTTTATTCATTATTATTTCTTCCAAGTACTTACTTGTAATTTGTATTTGACTTTTTATAAATTTGTCTATAATGTAATTCATTCATCTGCACTGTGCTGTGTCTGTAATTGGCCTTGCGGCTGTTGACTGGGCACATTAATAATAAAGAAATGAATTGAATTGAATTGAATTGAAATATCTGCACTGTGCCACATTTTCAAAACGTCTGTTAGCTATTTTTATGTCATGATTTTGCCCTGCATTCTGGTGACGAGACAGTAACATATACTTAGTTTTCTCTGTGTTTATTTCTAGACCAACCTCCTTTCTAGTGTCAATTAAAGTTTGTGTGTTTTTCTTTGTGGTATTATATTATCACGCAGTATATTCACATTATGAGCATAGACCAACAGCTGATGTGTGCCATTTAATTTCAGTCCCATCTGGTTTTGCTGGACATCCCTAATGGCATATTCTAAAGTAAAATTGAAAAACAGTGACGATAAAACATCTCCTTGTTTTAGACCATTCTGGATATGAAAATTATCAGACTTTACTATACGTTTCGTTTAAACACATTTTAATCAGCCTAACTAGTTTCATGGGTACCAAAACTCTTATTAGAATATTGTACAATACCCCCCCCCCCAATAACTGAATCATAAGCTTTCTTGTAGTCTACCAACAGTTGATGTACTGTTTTTACTGTCCTTGTTTCCCCCTCATTATGAGATCGTCATCGGGTGCTTTGCTACTGTGTAAGTTAATAGCGGAGCGAGTCGCCGTCTGGTAGCAAATATTTCACCTACTCGGCGTCTTCCTGATACCTGTGGTAAAGTCGGTGTTAAAGATGGCAAATTAAACGGCTCTTTTGTCTGTGTGTGTGTCCAAATCATGAAATTACAGGCCTTGACCTGGGGTTTGCATGCGGATATTGTAGGACCTATATAGCAAGAAGCATTTGGACAGAGATTTCAGCCGCACAGTGGGATGAAGGGAGGGTAACGCCCTGTAACTGAAGCCCTCTACTGACACATCCACGCTTTGAAATGCCCATCTCATTGGATTCGGCCAAATCCATTGTGTATTCAGTTGAAATGGCCACATGTCAAATCCCAGGTTGTAGTTTGTATTGCCACCGTATGCTGGAGCAGATTGACGTCGTGATCCTAAGCTGAAGAAGTTCGACATCGAAACCGGACTCTGTCGACCTAGTTCTGAATAATTCGTTGTGATTTGGAGGTTCTCTGCAGTATTCAACACGGTGCAGTGCCTTGTTACACGCAAGCCATGCAGTTATGCTGCCTTTACAAGTAAAGGTAAAGGGTGAATTTGTCATTGTGCTCAAATAATTAAGGATCCAGAAAGACATTTTTGACCTTAGGCATTAGATGGAGGTGAGAGGTAAGCTTCACGGCCCGGCCGCTTCACCCACTTTACCCTTTGGATAGGAGGCTGGGTAGGCCCCAGAGCCGGTCTGGACTCTCTGTAATGCAGAAAATTCTCTTGCCCCTACCGGGACTCGAACACCGGCCGTCCAACCCGTAGCCGGTGGCTGTGGCAACTGACTATGCAAGTACATAATCAGAATGTACTCGAGCTGTTTTGAATATCACACATAATAATCACAGTCAAGATATTGATATTGTCACATGTTTGGGGTGTAACGTGACTTTTTATAAGACGCGTTTTGGATTGGATGATTGGATTTATTGACACCTTATATACACCACTCGTAAGCGGCCTCCGTAGTCTAGAGGTAACGTTCCCACCTCATGACTCGTAGTACGCGGGTTCAAATACCCGGCGGAGGTCGTCGAATTTTTAAGGGCGGAAAAATTCAGGGAACAAGTCCTCCGGGAGGGACTTTAAGCTGTGTGTCCCGTGTCGTAACTTTACGGCACTTAAAAGAAACTCATATCCCCAAAGGGGATCACTGAGCCAAATTCCAGGACGTTTCCCGCCCAACAATAGTCTCTAAGGCCTCTGATAGATGGGGGAAGCATTATAGATACCACTAAGCAAGTGACCGAACTCGCTTGCTCGGCGGGACTGATGGTACGAACCATTTATCGGTAGGGTATAGAGACTGGTAGAATATCATAGAGGGAAGCACAATAGATCAAACTGGTCGCGGTGCATGGGGAAACTCACCCTCTCTAAATAACTAACTAACTAACTACACCACTCGTAACTACAGGCAATTATAGCGCTAGCCCTATTTCAGCACTTTACAGTCCACCGTTACACACTCACCAGGATTCTCAGTCCTTACTAGTCGCATCCTGTCAGAGGATTTCAACACAGCAGTTATACCAGTCTCGCTGCAACTGCAGTCCACATAAAAGTCTTCTTTTCACGGCTTAATTGCTTTCTTGCCGTCAGCTTCGACTGCCATCGCAATTATAATCTAAAGCATAGTCGACGCTGTTCTGACTCAAGTCAAAGTCACACTGCAACTGACGGTCAGTCAAACAGTAAGTCTTGGTGTCGAGTCCCATCTCGGGCTCATGACCAGATATTTATTACTGTTTGGCATTTACGGCCTTGTTTTTGTGGAGCGCCCTCTCTGACGAGAGGACGGGTCTGTCTTTTGTATTATGCTACTGGTCCTTGCCAGCGCAGTCTTTGTCGGGTCCGAGTCCCTTGGAACTCGCGACCATATTTTACGGTCTCAGTTTTGAGACTTCCCTTTACGTCGCCTCCTACGACTCGCAGGGTCCGGTGGAGGCGACCCCGCCTCTACACGGGTTGAAAAGCTATTCTGCCCGTGTGGAGCCTCCTATCCAATGGGCATTGGGCGCTTTTTTCTCCGGAGGTAAAGCGGCCTCGGCGTGAAGCTGACCACTCGCCAGCGTGTAGTGCCGAGATCATGAATGGTGGTGTTATACTTCAACTCCCCCATACATCTTAATGGCGTGGTGCTTAACTGCTTAAGCAAGGGACAACTGCCTTTTTTACGTGTCCCGTTCAGTAGCTTCGTCCCTTTCGATTGTTCGAGATTTGAGTATTGAGTATATAAAGGGGGTGGGTTTCCCCCATGCACTTAGACCAGTTATTGGTCCATTGTGCGTCCCCCTTTTAATTTCTACTGTCTCCATACCCTACCGGTACTGGTGCTCGCTATTAGCCCCTTTCTGCCAGCGACGTTCCAACCTTCTACTGGCAGTGGTATCTAATAGTTAGTCCCTTTCTGTCAGAGAGGTCCCCCCTCCTCTGGCCGTGGTACCTAATACTTCCCCATCTACCGGAGGCATTGGAAACTACTTTGGGCGGGAAACGTTTTGCCAAATTTAGCTCAGAGGTCTCCAAGAGACATGAGGTTCTTTTACGTGCCGTAAATCTACGACACGAGACCCTCCCGGAGGACTTGTTCCCTGAATTTTTCCGCCCTTAAAATTCCACGACCTCCGCCGTATTTGAACCCGCGTACCTTGAGTCATGAGGTGGGAACGTTACCTCTAGACTACGGAGGCCGCTTTGCTCGAGATTTACTAGGCTGGTAGTAAATGGGCGTCATGTTCTACTGAGCCAGCGGGATCCGACTGTTCCATATCCACTTAATGTAAACAGTATGCACGTCGGTGGCAGCACCGTCGCTTAGCTCGAGGCCACTCGACGAATCCAACAATGACATAATACTACTCTTGGACTCCTGGTACCTTGTCCGGCCATATCCCGACGAATCTGTCATATTTGTAGCTCCTGCTGGTACATTTCCACGAGTATTTCTTTTTTCCGACAGCAGCAGTTGTAATGCGTATATATGTATTCAGGGCAGGGCGAAATTACAGGTTTCTGTACTGATTACAAATGCGTTTTCTAGTGAAGCCAAACCTTAAAAGTATTATCATTCCTGCCTCGTATTTGGGAGGTCCTGGGTTTCCTGGGTTCAGTTCTGTGTCTGGATATCTTTAATACTGAAAAAATTTGCTGTCTTCTCATACAAATGTTGAAATAGAGGTTTAAAATAAAACACATCAGCCGTTTTACTTGTCCTTCTCAGTGTATTATTTAGCCATCCTCATATTTAAGGCAGCCTATTAGAATAGCGTCGCAAAATAAGTTAAATTAATTAAACTTGATCTCGAATAAACTGCTGTGCTTATTAATTCTGTTAATTATTGAACAATTTTAATCATAAACGCAGACGTGTTGCGTTTTGTAATATCGTCACATCCAACATAAAATATTAATTGAAGCTGATATATTAAAATGTTTCCGGGTATAATCCAGCGTTTCCGGTGGTCTGTAAAATTAAACGAATACGAAGATTATGAAGACAGGCCAAATTAATGTCAATTCTAATCAGATGTAAATTAAGTTCGGGCCAGTCTGTGCTTTTTATCGAGAAGGCTAGTTTTTTTTTCTGTGTCGCCTGTTTAAAACCACTGCAAGGGAACTGTTGTAAATATTGTTATTGTTTTCTGCAGTTTACTGTCGAAAACATGAAGACGTAAAAAAATGACGTGTACAGCTATTTTGAAGCTTAAAAAGTCGTTACTATAAATTTAATATTTCTGAGACCGCTTCATAATTCAACATGTGAAAGTACAGGTCTTGTATCAGGAATCCTTTTGTGTTACCGGCACTGTATGGTTGAATTCAGTGCTGTAAGGCTTGGAGATAACAGATAAGGGAAATGAAAGACTACTGTTGACTGAGAGTGTAATCTTCTATTTAAACAGTTACATTTATGTACACACTGTGCAAAGGAGGCGTACATAATCATACATCTTTGAAATACTTAAACAAATTCACAGCCAAATCTCTTTATCAGCTCCGATCACGTTACCTCTGTTGCATAAAAAGCTGATTGGGTCCCGGAGTCAGTCTGGGCTCGGTAGCGCAGAGAAGAACGTCTTTTCCTGCCGAAATCGAAACCCGATTATTTAGCCTGTATCCTAGTCACTACACTAAACTGTCTCGTGCATGTGGGTTAGGTGCATATTTCTCTCTTTTTACACATTTCCGGGATTTGTTATCTCTTAAAACATTACTTGAGTTCTACAGTATGGGCCAGCGAGTAGATTTCTTGTCTACATTATCTACATCAGAATTTAAATTTTTCTCTCTCTCTCGCTCTCTCTTTTAGCGTTCCCGAATCTTCAGTTCTTGATCCAGCTTTCTTTCAAAAGATCCGAAGCCTTTTCCCCTATCATGATGACGGCGGCATTCGTGTTCCCACTTATTATGGTTGGCATGATGGACGCATCTGCCACTCTGAGTCCCTTGACACCTTTCACCCTCAGCTCTGGATCGACTACTGCTTCAGGGTCATCTGCTCCCATCTTGCATGTCCCCACTGGATGGAAAATTGCTGATCCTACGTTTCTCATAGCGCACTCCAGATATTTCTTGCTCCCAAATTCGGCGTCACAGTTGGCAAACTTTAATTTCTCTAGTTTTGCTTCCAAGGATTTCATTACATTTGTTCCTGCAAGTCGATTTGCATATTCAGTTGCCTTCAGCATTTTTTCAATATCTTCATTGTCGCTAATATAATGAGTGAATATTCTTGGTTTGTCAAAAGGATCAGAACTTTTCAGCAAAATAGTCCCTCTGCTTTTCGGTCTTAGCAATGTAGGGACAAGAATTATAACATCAGACTTAGAACCGAGTTCGAGGTAGTTTTGGGCAGTGGTCGGAGAGAATCCGATCGATTTTGTTAACGCTGATATAAGGTGACTGTCATTGAATGGAAGATGAACGTGGTGGAATTCGATATCTGGATAATCGGGGTCATTTTCAGTACTTACAAATGCGAGCACATCTGTAATGCCAATGGCTGAGAAAGGGCCTTTCCTGCCGGTGAAGAGGGCGTACGTAGCGTCCAGAATTATCTGCGGAGGAACTGGCTGTGGTTTGGATCTAAGTACAGAAAATGCTAGTCCGAAGTGAATGAAATGATCTTGGAGATTACGGCCAACTGGAAGATCACTGATAATAGGTTTAATGCCCATTTCTTCCAAATGTTCCCGTGGACCAATGCCTGAGAGCATCAAGAGCTGTGGTGAATTTATACTTCCCGCGGAAATTATTATTTCCTTTGAGGTTTTCACAGTATTGAGATCATTTCCATTCTTGAATTGTACACCATAAGCAGTTTTCGTATCGGGATCAATTAGTATCTTGGTCACATGGCTGAATTTTGCAACATGGATGTTTTTCTTTCCCTTGATCGGAGATAAGAAAGCTTTTGCAGTATTGCATCTAGTTCCTTGCCGCAATGTAGCGAAAGATTTCATAACTCCAATCGTTGCCTCGCCCTCTTCTATGTACCTGTATCCCAACTCCTTCCAAGCATCGACCATTACTGGTTTGAGAGGATTGGCGTCCACAAAATGTTCAACAGTCAGTAAACCCGCTACACCGTGAAGCTTTGAAACATTTTTGTTTTTGAAAACTGCCTGCATGTCTTCAGATTTCTTAAAATAAGGCAATACATCTTCGTAGCTCCAACCCACATTTCCAGAGGAAGCCCAGTTGTCGTAATCCCTTCTGTGACCACGGACATACAACATCGCATTTATGGTACTGGACCCACCAAGGACTTTCCCTCTTGGCAAATAACACTGTTTGTCAACCATGCCTTGACAGATGCCTTCCTCCTGTTCTGCTTTGTATGCCCAGTCAATAGACGATCCGATTGTGTTAAATAGAAACGCGGGGATCTCTGATGTTACCGGTGGGTCGCCACCTGCCTCTAATAACAGAATGTTCCAGTCGTCAATTTCACTGAGACGGTTTGCAATTACCGCTCCCGCTGAACCTGCTCCAACGATGATGAAGTCGTAAGTGGATTTTAGGCGATGACTTTCGTTTTCAGGGTAGATTTCTGGGCTTCCGAGTGCACACTGAGAGACCATCAAGGTCTGAATGAGGTTTGAGAACAGGATACCCGGCATTCCTGTGACGTGTCCAGGACAGGGATTGGCTCCAGCTATCGTGCAGGCCTCCATGCTTGCAGCTCAGCACCCTGTGGCTTCCTCTTAGGCCTACGTTTGAAACCAAAAACAAAAAAGTGAGCGATTAGCTTCTTGTGCGTTATGTTATGGCGCTGTCAGTATGTAGTCTATATATTGTCGAGATTTCTTGGTTGCCCAGTTGATTTATTGTGTTAGTATTTGGATTAAATTTGCAAACATTCTTTATATCGAAGCTTTCGGAGATCAGAGCAAATTATGAGATAAATGAGACTGTAAGTTTACCGTAGTAACACCGTAACAGAACCATGACGTATTCGTCTCTAAGCTCAGTATTTCTCTATACTTACTTACTTACTCCTTCATGGCTGCGCCATAGCTCAAGCGGTTAGTCGCTGGCTTCCCACCACGGCGGCCCGGGTTCGATCCCGGGTCTGGTAAAGTGGGATTTGTGGTAGACAAAGTGGCGCTGGGGCAGGTTTTCTCCGACTACTTCGGTTTCCCATGCCAAAATTCATTCCACAAATTGCTCCACAATCACCCCCACCTGTCATCTGGGGCTGGTACAGTAGGCCAGAAATGGCCGCAGTACAAGGGACTTATTCCCACCCCACTAGCAATAAAGAAATAATACTTACTTACTCATGAAGCTGAGCCCTTCTTGAGGAGCCGCCAATTCTGCAGTTACTCAAGAATTTCCCAGCATTTTATGGAACCCGAAGGTTCATCACCGTGTTCACAAGAGCCCTCCACTGGTCCCTATCCTGAGCCAGATCTATGCAATCCATACCATCCCATCCTATCTCTTTAAGATCCATTTTAATATTGTCAACCTACCTACGCCTTGGTCTTCCCAGCGGTGTCTCTTCTTGTGGCTTTCCCACCAGTATCCTATATGCATTCCTCTTCTCCCCCACTCGTGCTACATGCCCTGCCCACCTCATTCTCCTTGACTTGATCATTCTAATTATACTTGGAGAAGAGTACAAGTTATGAAGGTCCTCATTGTGCAGTTTTCTCCAACTTCCTGTGAATTCATCTCCCTTTGGTGCAAATATTCTCCTCAACACCCTGTTCTCAAACACCCTCAGTCTATGTTCCTCCCTTAGTGTCAGAGACGAAGTTTCACACCCATACAGAACCAGAGGCAAAATGAGAATTTTTCTAATTTTTATGTTTTTGGAACAGACGAGAAGACAAAAGCTTCTGGACTGAATGGTAGCAAGCATTACCCGAGTTCAATCGCCTCTTAATTTCCTCCTGAATCAGGTTTCGATCTGTTATCTTTGTTCCCAAATATATGAACTGTGCCACATTTTCAAAACGTCTGTTTCCTATCTTTATGTCATGATTTTGCCCTGCATTTTGGTGACGAGACAGCAACATATACTTAGTTTTCTCTGTGTTTACTTCTAGACCAACCTCTTTACTTGCGTCAATTAAAGTTTGTGTGTTTTTCTTTATGGTATCTACATTATCACTCAGTAGATTCACGTCATCGGCGTAGACCAACAGCTGATGTGTCCCGTTCAGTTTCAGTCCCACCTGGCTTTCCTGGACCTTCCTAATTGCATATTCTAAGGCAAAGTTGAAAAGGAGTGGCGATAAAGCATCTCCTTGTTTTAGACCAAGGGTATCCAAACTACGGCCCGCGATGTGATTTTATCCGGCCCGCGAAAGAATTGTGCAGAAATGCGCCAATTTAACTAATTTTCCATTGAGTACTGGTAAAAAGAATATTTGTTCATAGATTTTTAATTCATTAATTAAGATTACGTTTAAAATATATTGATATTCCATAGTATGTTAATATTAGTATTATTCACAATTTTACTAATTCTGGACCGTATACTGCGCGGTATTTCTTCGTACTTGTTCGGCCTCGATCGGCAGTGTCACTTCGTGGCAATGTAGATAGCGCGAGCAGAATTTCCTTCCAAGTTTGCAGATTTAGTCATTTCAGATCTGAAAGAACAATTTCGGAAGCGATTTGCTGATTTGGATGCCAGTGCTCAGGAAATTACATTGTTTCAAAATCCGTTTGACTGTGATGCTGCAGATGTCCCAAGTCAAATTCAAATGGAAAGTATTGAACTTCAGGAAAATTATCATATTAAAGACAAATCCAAGGAAGGAAATTTGATCGAAT